GGTGGTGATGACCAGCTGGCTTCCAGTCTTACACTGCTAAATTAGGGACGGCTAGCGCATATAGCCCTCGTGTAGCTTTGTGCGAAATTCAAAACAAACAAACACAAATTGTCCACTTTTTCCCACTAGGTCCTCATACAACTGAAAATGAAATAGAATCCTCTCAGAATGGAACATTTTAGGCACATCTTTTTCACTTTCCAATACGAAATAAATTTCAGCAATAGCCAGTGTGTTTAACAAAATCACTGGCAATGGACCCTGATTGCTTTTGGTGAATCTCTAGACTGATTGTGGCAAGTGGTTCCATTCCAGATGTCTGTTTGTATTACGGATAAAAGGTCTACTTTATCCAGATGTCTGTTTGTATTACGGATAAAAGGTCTACTTTATCCAGATGTCTGTTTGTATTACGGATAAAAGGTCTACTTTATCCAGATGTCTGTCTGTATTATGGATAAAAGGTCTACTTTATCCAGATCATGTGGATAAAGTAGACCGTTTATCCATAATACAGACATGTGGATAAAATAGACCTTTTATCCATAATACAAACAGACATCTGGATAAAGTAGACCTTTTATCCATAATACAGACAGACATCTGGATAAAGTAGACCTTTTGGTCTGCTATATCCAGATATCTGAAAAGCTCTATTGGTTTGGAAGCAGTTCCATATTCTGCTAATGACACTCAGACTGATGTGAATTACCATACTGTATTTGTCAGATGACTCTCCACATCTAAGGGTCTTCCTTGAACAATATGAAGTGCTTGAAGCTCCAAGCTTTATTTCAAAGTAACAATTGAAACAAAGTTGTTTAACACCACTACATAATAGCATAGTCTTAATGAACAATCATTCATTTCAGGTGCCACGACTGATCATCATGACAACAAGCTAAGGGAGATGACTGGCAAGTTAACAGTGGGATTTGTCTTGTGGTAGCCATACCATTAATTCTGATTATCCTTTGTTCTTTGCTGCGTACACACAATTGTAAAAATTTAAAGTGAAAGAAAAAATTCAACTTATTGAAAGAAATTCGAATAAGATTTAATAACTGCAAATGGTCATCCTTATATGTTGATATTTACTACCAACGTACTTGACCATTTCCCAATTGTTTCAATTAGACCAGTCTAATTCCTAACATCTTACTATCAAACAAATTGATTTCATTGTCTTTGTTGTATTATCTTTAATACCAACTGTATATTCACTTTTGTCCCTGTATACTTGCATATCTAGGTATTTATATGTATACGTGTAAACTCAAAGCAATTTTATAATACCCGTACAACATCTCTATAACACGTACAAACTTGCTATAAAGGTTTACAACAGGAACACAAAATTCATGTACCTAGGACTGAAGAAAAAAAATTTAAATTTTACGTGGCTCAAAAACTACATTAAATACATAATTTAAAATGGAAAAATTATTATAGTGAGATTTTATTCAATCGAAGATGTTACAAGAAGGCAACAGAAAAGTTAGAATTATATAAAAAGTATACACGTATTTTTAAAATTGTGAATTTTAAGATTTAGAAGTACACAAATATACGCATACTAATGTATATACATATATATGGAACATGAAACACAGTAAAAAAAAAACACATTAAGTGATTTAACAAGAACAAAACTGTCCTTAAAACATACTATACACAACTGATCTTTAGTAATGAGCATACATTTCAAACACACAAAAACAGCCAGCAATTGTGAGTTGAATACACTAATGATCTTTAAGGATATATTTTTAGTTTTTGAGCTTCGTAGCTATTTACTAATGATCAGTTTTCACAGAAAAAAAAAAGCAATAATTTTTATCTGATTTTAAACAGTAGATAACTGAAAGTTTGTTGTCTATTTCCTACCACATTTTATCACGAAGTTACAGTGCTTCGATCTGGAAGTTTAACAAAATGGTTTTATAATACCAAGAACAGCTTAGTAACAATGTGGGGGTTTTATATATCACCAAACTATGTTCTGAGTTTTGAACACACTAGTTGTTTATTGAATCATCTGAGTAAAAACTGATATACGTGCTTATTAAGACACAAACATTCAACTTCATCTGGAAAGAGAAGGTTCATCTTATTTGATTCATAGTAAACGGTAATATCATAAAACTGAACAGACTTATTTAAGTGATCTAAAGATTACAATTTGGAAGGTACTGTTGAATTTCTCATCTCAAAAACTGAACCTATTTAAACAATGAGTGGCATCAAAGTATTAAAAAGTTGTCTGAATAGTGCATCAAGAACAATGGAATATGACTGTTCCATACAGTTAAATCAAATACTTCTAATAGTGGCAGGATATTTAAATAATGCTTCAGCCGGACATATAACGGATATAAACTGGACAAACACACGTTACGACAATGAAAGAGAGCTACATTAAAACCGTGAGTGGTTGTGAACAGCATCATACAGAATTTCTGTAAACTAAAAGCTATTATTATGATATAAAATCCTGTGATAACATAAGCATACCAAACATGAATTTCAACCAAAGGTCTGAAGTCATATTTTGAAAAAGTTACACTTCTATAAACATTCATAAGGCAATATGTTAAAAATAAATGCTAAAATCACAAAAATATCTAACTTTTTTTTTTTCAATCACTATAGTAACTCATTTCTTTGTTTTAGTCAAGTACTACTTTGATTTGGGAATTGTTTTTAAACTTTCAAACAGTTGACTTGTATCCAGTTTTCTCTCTCACTATTTAAATATTTTACAACTTTACCAATCAGCCTTGAAGGTACCCTTGCTACAAATAAAACACTGCAATTAATTTTGCACTTTTTATAAAAATTTAACAAAATTTTTTTTTTTTTTATTTCTTCCTAATAACTATTGTAATTAATTTTTAAATCTGCTTATGAAGCAGTATTTTTGGCAAGTAGCTAGATACGGACTTTTCAATCTCCATTCACCATCACACAAACATTCACTTCCAAAATAACGACATCTTGCGACTATTTTTCGTGAGCTATGTACAGAAGCGATTCCTCGTGTGGCAAAAACAAAAACCAAGATAAAAGCACTAGTACAGACGTAATCATACGCAACTTTATCTTACGGCATTTTACTCGGTGTTCTCGGAATAGAGTTAGCAGTTTGCATCTGCTTGGTTTAACGTTGCTTGTACTTTAACTAATCGCACTTAGTCTGTTTTATATGCTCAAATAAAACAAAACCATTATTCAACAATTCAGGGCAGAACAACATTTCCCACTTACAATATGAACTATCTATCTGTTATTTTAACATCGGAGAAGCAAAAAATGGCTGTCGAGTTTTAGGATTTCCTCCTCGCAGACTAGATGGGTTCCTGAAAAGAATAAAAATTGAGTTACATATAGTAAAAATTATAAATCAGTTCTCCTACAATCAATGTTTTGTAATCTAATATAATTTGCTTCATTTCTATTTAATAAAAATAGTTATACTGTTTGTTTGTAGTTAAGCGCAAAGCTACACGATGGGCTATCTGTGCTCTGCCCACCACGGGTATCGAAAACCCGGTTTCTAGCATTTTAAGTTCACAGACATTCCACTGTACCACTGGGGGGCAATACAAAAAGGTCCAACAGTGTTTCATTAAGATACGTTTTGAAATTTGTTGATAAGCTGAGAGTCCAACGGCTTTTTAGAACCTGTGAGAAATTTTTCCATGACACAAAAAATGCTTTTAAGTTTGAACTTTCAAAGTATTTTCACTTTAATGTAGCATAACTACTGAATATTGTTATTTGAATATATAGCAAATACACAAATATAGTGATAACAAATATATATTATTAATTGGACATGATATTAGATGTCCGAATACAACCGAAAAATCTTTCCCAAGAACCTTCAAAATATAATACCATCATACAGATTGCTTAAACAACATGTCCAAATACCCACAAAACACGGAGGGGGGGGGGTAATATTTTCGTGATATAAGTTACAGTAGAATTTATGATGTTAGTCAATAGTATTGCCTTTCAATAAACACAGAGTATCAAGAATAATTAACACATTATGTAAGATGCAGGAATTAAAGTAACAGCAATACTACAAAAAAGATGGCAAAGACATTAGTATAAAAGATAACCTCTCACATATTTACCTGGAGATTAACCTCTAACCCCCAGGTAAATGTGTGTTTTACTAGGGAAAACACCTCTAACCCCCAGGTAAATGTGTGTTTTACTAGAGAAAACACCTCGTTTTCCCTAGTAAAACACACATTTACCTGGGGGTTAGAGGTGTTTTCCCTAGTAAAACACACATTTACCTGGGGGTTAGAGGTGTTTTCCCTAGTAAAACACACATTTACCTGGGGGTTAGAGATGTTTTCTCTAGT